ACATTCCTCCCTGGGAAGGGGAGAGGCTGTCCTGCATTTTGTGCCTGGTTCACTTTGGCAATTGCTTTCCCCAGGTTTCATCACGCTCACCTATAAATAACTCCTAAAAACACCTCTGCAGGTGATAATTAATCGGAGAGCTGTGTGGCTGCTCCAGCTAAAAGTATCTGGCTTACTAGTGGTGGCTCCCTGCCATCCTCGAGGCAGTGCTGGGGACAAGAGCCGGCCATCACGCAGCATGTCACGGGATGGGATATCTCCGGTGCCAAGCCCCAGGCTGCGGGGTAGAGCTCATCCACTGAGAAGCTGCAGGGAGCAGAGCCTGCTTTGGGATAGCTCTGGAGAATGATGCGGAGCTGGGGCATGTCGTGGGGGAATCTCAACCGCTTCCTGCAGGGACTGTGGGGGGCTGCATGGAGCCTCCTGTATCAGCATTACCCCTGCGCTGCTCCCCAGGTTTTCAGGGAGGAAGGCAGGGCTCCGGACCATCGCAGTCATCACATCTGCAGCCCCAAAGCAGCCTTGTTTGTGGATGCATGTGGGTTTGGGATTTTTTGGGGTTTTTTTTTTTTTTTGAACGAGGCTGGTACTGCTCCTGGCAGGTCGGCATCCCTTGTCTGCACTCCTCAGGGAAGTGGGCATGCACACCACATTTGCTCATCTCAATCCTTCAGTGCTTTCCCCCAGTGGGAAACAAGGCTGAAAGGGGGTTTGGGAGCTCCTCTGAAACCCCCCAAACTGGGATCATGGCTGGCTGCCAGCAGCAGTAAGTATTTACTTTTTACAAAGCCACCCAAAAGATAGATCTTTAAAAAATCAAGTTAAGTAATTGCAGATCTGAGCATGAGCATCCGAGTGGGAGTGCGCAGGGCAAGGCAGCACCAGGGACCCATCTGCGGGTGTCTGGCCCTGGGAGCCCTGTGCAGGGGAGGAGGAGGGAGTGCTCATTTGCAGGTCACTGCTGTTTCTTGCTCTGCTCCTGAATAACGAGCATATTTAACTTCTCAGCATGTCTTGCAAGGGGGCGAGTTCCCCTCTGAGTGCTCTGTCACTGTGGGCCAGGGGTCTTCTTGGACCCATGCACCAGGGAGGTGGAGGAGCCCGAGCACCACCCGGAGCTCCCGTGGCAGTGGAAAAACCTCGCCGTTGCCCTTGGGGACCAGGGGGCTGGGGTGAGGCTGCAGAAAAATGTCAGCAATTCCTGTCATTTCCCGAGGTCCGTCTGGTGGGAAGCAGCAAGAGATGCCAACTGTACCCTCCCACCGGAGCCAGGGCTGCTGTGTCCCCCAGGACATCCCCATCCCGAAGCCAAAGAGGCTCTCGCCCATGTTTTGCAGCCAGGGGGGTCAGAGGGTCACCAGAGCCAGGAACAGCACTGGCTTGCACTGCTTTTCATTCCCAGCCTTACTGTTGCAAGCCTGGATGTTAAAATCCAGGAAAAAATAAAATAAACACTAAAAAAGTCCCCAGGTGGGAGTGGAAAGCAACAGCTGTCCTCTTCTTTCACACATCCAAAGGGGTGCTACATGAGCACTTGGCTATGCTGAGAGGCTGCTGGAGGCAGGAGGTGTTTGTGCCTCTCCTTTCTCCATGGGCAGTGAGGGATTTTGGCTGCTATTTTATGGCAAGTGTTTAAAAGCAGAGCTTTGGAGGGTTTGCTGGAAAAGCTCAGGCTGCAGTGCCTGGAGCCCTGGGGCGATGTAGAACCTGCACAGCTCAGGGAGAGGGGCAATGGCTGGACCTGCCTCAGCTTCCCCTTCTGGGAAGTGGCCCAATTTCAGCTCTGTTGCTTAGAAATGCATCATAGCAATGATTTCTCCTTCTCCCAGTACGGGAAGCAGGGGCTTGGGCTTTCTGACCTGTTTAAGGGGCAGCATGGCTCTATATGGTAGCTGATTAAGGGGCGATAAGAGTGGATGGCATCCCCAGAGTAACTCTTCCCATTGGAAGGCTGTGTTGCGTTGATACTGCAGCCCCTCCATCTCCTTCCTCTGCACCAAAGCTGCTTGTCCCACGCAGTTTGGCCCCTAATTCACTCTGAAAAGTATCTCTCTGCAGCAGGATCCGTATTCCTGGAGCACAGGCGGATAAACAAGTTGCTGTTGACTTCCACCGACCCACCTGGGCTGGCTTGGTGGGGAAGAATGGCCTTTTCCTTGCTCCCTCCTGTTAGTGGTATCGTAGTGTCCTCTGCTGGGCACAGCTGAAACTGGACACGACATGACGGTTGTCCAGTCCCGGTCCCCTAAGGCCCCTCTCTCCTCCTTATTTTTCTGGTAAGCCAAGGGAAAATAAAGAGCAGGACAAACTAGTCGAGGCTAAGGAGAACAAAAGGAAAAGGAGAGGAGGAGGAGGATACCTGGTTTCTGCTGCTGTTTTACTTCAGCTTTGTTAGAGATCTTTCCGAAATGAAAGCCATGGGATGGGCATTTTGCAGCCTCCTCCCTCTCTCTTAGCTCCTTTCCTCCACCTACACAAGAGGTTTTGAGTTGAACAAAAAAAACCCCAAACAACTGCAACTGGGATTTTTTTTTTAAATTCTGTTCATCTGATGTGAAATTAAGGGGGTTTTCTCTTGTCCATGTAGAGAAAGTCACTGGATTGATCCAGAGCCTCTTTGCAGCAGGGTACTCAGACAACATCTCCATAAGGACGTTTTAAAGTGCTTTTTGCATCAGACAGCTGCTGGAAGCCAGCCCCATGCTCAGAGATGACTGAAACCACCGCAGTTGGTAGTGCGATGGGCACTGCGAGGTCTCGCTGGGTCTCATTTCCAGGGGCACTGCATACTGTTGCACAGATGCACTGCTGTCACCTAGCTCCAGCCAGGACTGTGGGGACAGCCAGAGCTGTCACTTCAGGAACATGTGGACCTGCAAAAGCTGCGTGTTAAAAGCAGGTTAGCTCTCATGCACCATGGGGGACTCCCTCTGTGTGTTCCAAGGAAGAGGTTTCCACCTGTTTACTGAGGGCAGAAGGTGGGGAGGGAAAGGCAGAGCATGAAAAGCAACAGTTGGCATCAGTCCTGGGCAGGTTGCAGGTGGCATGGATGCCCACAAGAATCGGGCACTGCAGTGGGGACAGGCTGCGGAGCAGCAGACTGACAGCAGCAGACTCTCTTCTGGAACTTAATGGCTTTCACTAAAGTACATGCTTTTTCAAACAGCAATAGAAAATAACAGCACCAGGTACTTAGCAGGATGCCTGTGCCGCCATGACGTACCGGGATGCCCCAGCCTGTTTTGAGGCCTGAATATTAACTTATGTTTAGGGTCTTTTCTGACTTTTTCTATCTGTAGTAGTGAGGACTGTGGCAGCCTCAGGATGTAACCCCTCAGCAAGGACCAAGTCACCAAGCAGTGAGACAGTAATGATGCAAACTGGCTTTTGTGCACTGAGGTGGCTTTCACACTGTGGGGCATTGAATCTTTTCCTTCTCCAGCTCCCTCTCCATGATCGAACAAGTGTCCAGCCCCATATCTCTCAAGTCAGAAAACATAAGAGCCATTATTGTTAGTATTGGGGATTTATTTATAGGGCTGGGGTTTGGGTCTTTATCTGAACATCACTTACAAAGAGGAAATCAGTTGGGTTTTAGAAACAATGCTTACAAAGGTCTCATCATCTAACACATAAACTCCAGATACAACACTCTGCCTGATGGGGAACTTGGGTGAAACACCAGTGGCTTTACAACCACTTCCCTGCCGAAACCTTGATTGAGTTCAGGGTATTGTAAACACACGCAAAACCCATTTAAAAGATGTGCGTGTAGCTTGGCTTATGTGACATGTATTGTCAGTGTGAAACATTTGCCTCTTCTGTAACAACACCTACACAAAGATTTCAAAGTGCTTGATAAACCTGACAGTCTTACACTAGAGCAAACGGTTCTCCTAAAGCCCTTGAAGCAAAGTCTTATGAAATCCCTATATATCTCTCCACTGCATATAGAGATAAAAAAAAAAATATCACCATGAGTCCTCTGTACACCAAGACGTGGAAGCCAGAAGCCTTGGACTAATATTTTTCCAAGTAACTGAAGTACTCCCATACAAATTATTTTTAACACCCGATTCTTAATTAAAGGCAAAAAATGTTATCAGTGAAACAACCCCTCCCATGGTGCCAGTTTAAAGGAATACTATTATTTCTTGACAGAAAGTCAGCAATTATTCTAATGAAATTTGAGATGTTCTCTGATCCTTCTGGTCTGGAGCAGAGGCCTTCATGTCCTACCACTGGTTTCATCTGCTAGTGGGACTTTGATTTGGTTGGCTTTCTTGTTCTTCCCTTCTTACAGCAGCATCTGCGGCAGCAGAACAGGCAGCACTTCAGAGAAATGAAGAGGGAGAGGAGCACCACGGAGAGGAGGAAGGCGATGACGTCCAGGGAGTGGTACTGGATCCAGTTCAAGTCGTGAGCAGCAGGTCGCAGGTGTGGGGCCCCTTTGTGTCTCATTACAAACTCCACCCAGTGCACGGCCAGGTCCAGGGGGTGGATGGGTCTGTCGAGGTGAAGGTCAGAGAGACGCTTGATGTTCTCTTTGTACCTGCCAAGAAAGGACGTTCAGTGTTTTCAGTGACTTGTGCTACTGAGACTGAGTCCCCAGAAAACAAGGATGTTGTCTGACGGCCCACTGGGGGCTTCTCTGGTGTTTCCCCAACACTACCACCTCATGAGGAGGATAATGGCAAAGTTATGGGCCCAGAAAAGTGCTGTTTTCAATGACAAAAAAAGAGGGAAAGGTATTAGAAAAGAAGAAGAAGAAAAAGCTTAATTTGAGCTGTCAGCAAAATCTCTGGGGTGAAGGTATCTGGCTGAAATGTGAGACTGGGTGTAGAAAAGCTGTCCAGCTGAAGATCAAGATGCATTATTATTATTATTACTGTTGTTGTTATTGTTATTGCTATAAGAAGAGTGGTTAGGAAACAATAGCAATAGGTGCCATTTTTCAGAAACATGTTGGGGAAGAGTATGCCAAGGACTCAGAGGCCCTAGTGACAACAGAGAATGGGAGCAGGGAAGAGGAGGGTATGTCTTAAAGCTCCCCTTCACTGTGATGCCTTAAAACATCTTGGGCATGTTGACTGCAATACTATGATGTCTAGTGTGGTTCCCTGTACCGCTTCAGTGTAACCACACATACTCCTCCTGCTCTGTGCTGGAATTGTCCAGCATTGCTGAGCCAGGCAGCAGCTGACTGTGCTCATACAGCTCCTTATGAGCACTAGGGGGGGGAAAATGACTGGTCTGTAAAATAAATGAGTGATAATAGCTATGTTTAGTAAACCCTGCCAGCTGGGAGGTAATGCTTCCTGACGCAGTACAGCCTCTGGACTATACTGAGGCACTGCCACTTGTCTCCTTCCTCCTGCTGCTGTGCAGACAGCATCTCTGGGCAACCCCCACGCAAAGAAAATCAGCCAGGCAGCTGCACCTTTCAACCTTTTCAGGATCCCACTGACTCATGTCACCACTGATTTAGGGAACAAAAGCAGTTTGCCACATCTCCCTTCACTGATCGCCTTTTCTACCACATTGTGTCAAAGCCCTTGACACCACTGCCTGGTAAATTTGGCTTTAAGCGGGTGACACATCTTTGGCCAATTTGATTTCTTCCATTGCACTTATACCCCATATTCTCTGATACCTGCATCCTCTCACATCAGCCAGTTCTAGTCACCTAATGATTATAATCCCAGGCAGTGAGAAGGACGGCTCTGTTACAGGGACAGGATGAAGTTAACCCAGGGCAAGCATCAGCTTCTCGATGATGTAACTTTTATAAGAAGGCATGTAAGAACAGATTAGTATTCTGTTAAGCTGGAAGCTAGAGTACTGGCATTATAGAACAGTAAAAGGAGAAAGGCTGTGCTTCTATTACTGACTTTTTATCATTAATAACTGCTTTCAGAGCAGCAGAGATGTCCTTTGAAGTCATTTCAAGTATATTCAGTGTCAGTCCTGCTCCCCGTGACTCTACTCGCTTGGCGTTGTCCATCTGGTCTCCAAATAAAGGCATTAGTACCATTGGCACTGCATTGCATATGCCCTCATAAACACCGTGTGAGCCTCCATGGGTAATAAAGGCACGAGTCTTAGGGTGAGCTGTGGAGGAAAGAAAGACTTGCTTAACTATTTGATTTGTTAAGTCACAGTAACACATCTCTGGGGAAAAACTTGCACAAAAATGAAACTGGTAGGTATAAATCAAGAACTTTGGGCTGTCATGTGCATCGTTACTTATGGACAGACTTAGGGCTGCAGAGAACAGGCGATTGAATGAACCTTGGATTGTAGAGCAATGTCTTGGTTTGGGTAATCTCTGGAAAGCCTTGGATAATCCTCCAAAGCTTCTCAGATTTTAGGATGAAATCAGAGCCAAGTGAGGTTAAAGAGGATGTTACCATTGCTTGCTTTTTTACCATGTCTTCCATTTGCTGGCTTTGCAGATCTCCCACAGCCAAACCTTGTTGTCTAACCAACAAATGCACTCCTGGCAGTAGCACATACAATTTTACCACTTGAAAAGCCTGACGACCTGTCTGGAAATGCTCACTCGGGGACCTTAAATTTTCTTTTCAGTCCAGTAGACAAAAACATGACAAAAACCCATGGCTGGGTGTTGAGACTGGTTAGTCAGAGAGAAAGATAGCCCACTTTTGTCAGTAAGGGTAGTCAAGTGATGGAACACCCTTCCAAACAGTGTTGTTTCATAATTCGGCAATTTTGAAGTTGCAATCAGTTAAGTTTCTAAAAGACGAGCTCTGGTTCAAACAGCAAAGGCTGTAAGGAAGTCCTTGTGACCTACAGTGATACAGGGAGTCAGCACAGATGATGCTAATGGGGCCTTACAACAGCATTATCAGATTAAAAGAAACACGCTGGTATCACTCAAGGTATCTCAGACCTACCTAGAAGATCATTCTGTGGCAGCCATTTGACAAGCTTTACGTTCTTTGGCAAGTTGGGGGGTACCTCTCCTGTGTATCGCCACAAAACCTTTCAAGAGAAGTAAACACAATGTCAGGTCTCAGCAACCAGCCTCTTGCTGCTCCTCAGTGTGTTTGAAAAGCACAGCTGAAAACATCTGTGGCGCACAAAACCTGTTTCGTCGTGCAGAGCAGCTGGGGTGATAGTTTCTTCTGGCATCAGGCAGTAGAAGAAAGAAGGGACCAAGCACACTGAAAGCCGAAGGTAATCATATACTGTATTTGAAAAGTCTTGAATTGCTGTGCTGGAAGGGGAAAAGGGAAACCATACCGTTTGAGGGACTGATCCCAAGGCATCTGCGATTTCTGTGGCTTTCTTCATAGGAATCTCAGAGACCATGGAGCCCAGTGAGAAGACAACAATGCCGTGTTCTCCAGAGGCATTCACAATAGCTTCAAACTCCTGCCAACACAAAGCACATCCTTAGTCAAAGTCCCTTCCACATCATACGCTGTAATTTCTGTCATGTTCCCACAAAACTAGCTGGAAAGGCAATAAAATGAACAGTCAACACAACAGAATTATGATCAGGAAAATTAGTTATCTATATGAAAATGAGTCCCAGGGGAAAAAGATGGGCACAGTGGGATTAACAAAGTTATGGAAGTGCGTGAGTGTTTGCAGAATTGAAGCCCAAATCAAGATTCAGTATGGACATGAGAAAAAATTTACTTTAAAACAGTCACGTAGCAAAGCCTGCCTGCTCAAAGACATCAGTTTCTGTGCAGTAAAAAAGATGCTGTACCAATTAAGGAGATCAATTCATCATCATATTTTTCCTGGCAACCAATCCCTAGGTGAATACATTGTGGTTTATTTTCACATTTATTGCAAGTCAGATGCTCTGGCTTTAGAATTGATGCTCTTCTTTTCAAACCATGCAGCTGCAAGAGAGAATTAAGATTTTGAAAAATGTTCTGACAGCAGATAGTTCTAATTTCTAATATCTGGATTTACTGGGTCTGCTTTGAGTATGATAATATTGAACCACTGCCAATTTTTTTTATCTGTTTTGTTTGTTTGATTTAAATAAAAGAAGGACTAGGAGATCTGTCACTGGAATCCAAGAACAAAAGGATTCCAATGAAGTATAAAAACAGCTGAAGGCTGGAGCAAAAATCCTGTGCCATAGAAAAATATTTGGTAAAGCCAGGGAAGGAAAGACAAAACTGGAGGGAATTGCTGCGGGCATCAGAGTTAAATGAGTGGAATAAAATTAATTAAATGTTCCCATAAGTCTGGCAATTGAAATGTTATCTCTAGGGTCTGAGGGGATAACTGAGATTGACCCTCTTAATTTATGCTCTGTTACATATTTTTGAGGCTGATCAGAATGCTGTGGCCCTTCGCTTGGACTGGATCCCAAATGGAAGGCCCCATTGAAGGTTTGCCGATAGCTGCACCCTGAACAGCAGACCTGGTGCTCTCCTGGGGCAAACAAGGTGAAATGTAACTCTCATTTCAGGGCTTGGTTCTGTCTTACCAGATTTCTCTGAAGACACGTTCTCCATTAAGGCGTCTTGGATGTTTGGTTGGGAACTCAGGGCTCAGTTCTATATAAACTCACAACATCTGTGAACTGCAAAATCCTCCCCAAACTACAAATGTGCTTTTGGTACAAAATTCTTTGGCAGTTCCTGATGCAGTGGAACAGATATGGCTATTTCAGGGTGTATTTAGCCCTATTTATTTTCTGTGGGACTAGTCACATCAGTTTTACTCTGTTCTTTAAATGTTTTTGTGTGCCAAGGTCTGACTTTCTGCTCAGAAATGCCACTACCATTATGAAATTTTTGCAGCCCTGCTTTGGGAATAGGTGGGTTGTTTTACTAAAGTCTTTTTAACCAGCAGCTGCTTGTATCAGTGGGTGCTACACATGACCTTTATGAAATACCTGCAGTGGACACTCACTGAAAAACAGGAGAAAGCACTAAAAATTAGGAGGATTTTTTAGTGGAAAGTGGCAGATATCCCATATTTAGGAAGGTTGGCATAGTTCAAGCAAAATACAGGTGCAGTTCAGACCTGGGACAGAGTATTTTACACAAAAGAAGCAGATCTCTTGCTGCTTCACTGGGTGGTGGGGATTTCATTCAGGTCTACTGTCTGAAATTCCTGCAGAAATGGTCCTCTGCTCAAGGGCAGGGGACTAGGATGATGTGGCCTGCTGCATTACCCTAGCTAGCACCAAAAGTCTTGTAAACAGGTATACAAAACAAAATTACTGGAAATAGGCAGCCAGAAAATACTGTGAGAAAAGAACTGGCAAAGCCCAGCTTTGTATGCATGCTTGTCTGGGAATCTGGAGGTCTCCCACAAAGTAACATACTCCTTAATGCACAAGAGATGCAGAGGTGCAAAGTACTTTCCTAGCCACTTCCACCTCACTCTTTCGCCTGTTATTATTTGTTACTCCCAGGAGCTCCATCTCATGGTGAGAGCAAACAGTACAGCCATAGCTAAACTAGGGGAAAAAAGGTAACTAACCTGTGATAATGCTTTTTCCTGAGTGCAGCTTACGCCTCCGATCAAGACCATATTAGGCATTAGGGGCCTGGGGTACTCAAACACAAAGTCATATTTCATGAGCCAAATAGACGCGTGGCTGAACAGCTCAAGCACTGTTGCCTCTTGTTGGAGGAATTCTTTGATCAAACGATCATACGGTGAATAAAGCCAGCTGCAAGCCAGTGAACTGCTCAGGCTAGCTATGAGATTGCCCGTGCGCTGGAGGAACGCCATGCGGTCCGTGTAGCGAGTGAAGAACCTAGGAACGTAAGAAGGAGGATTTGGACAGAGGGTAGCGTGGAAGTCTAGGCTGCACGGCAGTCCCCGTACGAGGTACACAGAAGGTAGGGAGAGATGTTCGGCCACTATCTGTCCACATGGGAAAAAAGGATCCATAAAGACAGCATCAAATTTGCTCTCCTCAAGGTATTCGATCAGCTCTTTGTTAGACAGAAGACGTTTGCAGGAATCAAAGAACATGGTTGTAATATTTGCCATTTTTGAGAATTTTTCCATGAAGGGTTGAGGTGTAAAACTCCTATAGCCCAGCTTTTTAAATTCTGCCTCCACATACTCCTTGGTGTAAGACACAGAGTATGTTTTCATGGTGTAATGCACTGACGAATCTATCCGCAAATTTATCTCTGGCGCAACCACCGTGATTTCATGTCCCCTCTGTCTGAGCCGCTCCACAACTGGGTGCATGCTGAGCCAGTGGCTGCCATCAATAGGTACAACCAAAAGCTTTCCACCTTCAGAAAAGGTCCACAGGAGCAAGAAAAACACAGCCCAGGAGGCAAGAGAATTAAATCCTGGATTTGAAGAAGCCATTTTCCTTGTGCTGTCAGCAAAGTTTTAAACGGCCACAAAACTATCACAGGGGACAGGGAGTGAATCGTGGGGTACTTTGCACTTCAATCTTAACTAAGGTAAAAGTGTTTAATTTTTAACAGACTGTATGTTTGTGGGCAGAAATGAGGGTAATTTTTAACTATGGGTAAAGGTTGGGTTTATCATCTGTGCACACAGTGAAGGCTTTAAGCATCTGGGCACTGCAAGGTAAAGTTGAATGCTTGAATTAACATTAGAGAATTCAAATGCTCAAGGGAGAGGTGTCAAGCAATTGGCCATGTGTCGCACTGAAAGGCTGAACAGAGTTATGAATGGGAGGTAACACCTGACCAAGCAATCACTATCTTATTAAAATCTAGTTAATGATGAACTTCCTACCTCGAGTCTGCTCAGCTGATTGAACACAAAACTCGGAACAAAAGTCTGACCTTTGGATTACTTTGTGCTCTCAGAGTCTAAACAAGAAGCAATGATTGACAGAGATTTGATATACAGTGGGCTGATAAGGTTTATCTTCAGATTTGTTTCTATATTGTACCAGTTATCAAAGTGAAAGCCCTGAGTCTACAGTAGTAAGTGTGATGCAAGCTTAGCAATAAATTCTGCTGTTGCAACACCACTGTGGTCTGAAAAACAGAATAAACCACTGACATCTGTGCTATTTGCACAGCCCGCTAGGGAGATTTAAACAAGCTAGGGAGGGAGGCTAGATAGTTACAATCCTGAAGGCTTCTTTTTTCTGATCATCCTCTTATATGCTATCTTACATTGCTTCTAACACAAATTCAAACACAAAAGAGCTCCCTCTACCATCTTTGATCGCATACCCCTAGTTTTGGGGTATTCATCTGTATTTATCAATCTCTATGGCACACTATAAGTGCCTGGGTATATGCTCGATGGGGAGTAACAATGATGACAGAGCCAAACTTTTCTGGGTAGCAGTAAATAGTATAATCAGGGCCACAAATGGCAGTTTGAGAGATTTGGACTGAACATTTGGAAAAAGATTTTTACCTCTGAGGATTTGAAGGTTTGTCTGTATAACAGCATGGCTGATGTGATCTGATGTGGAAGACACTCCCACACCAAGGACTTGTTTAGATATCCAAATCAGGTTGATTTGAATGGGATTTAAGTAAGTGCCTAATTATTCTTGAGAACCTGGGTTGAAGCTGCAGCAAATGATGCAATGGAAATCCAATGGGTAGACAGGTGAATGAAATAGGCGCCTATAAACAAAGCAATATGTCCTTAGACAGGGAGAACATGCAAAGGCAAATGAAATCTTTCAAGATAAACCTAGAAAAGCAGGTATCTGCACTTTGTGCTTAAAAGAAGTGCCTGACAAAGCAGATCTCATCTGCCACTAAGGCATATTTCATGGAAAGGGAAAAGGTGGATGCCAAAAGTTTGCAAGTTTACAAAAGCAAAATAAGATGACACCAAGCTGAGTGTTGTGGTCGACACACCAGAGGGACGGGATGCCATCCAGAGGGACCTGGACAAGCTGGAGAAGTGGGCCTGTGTGAACCTCATGAGGTTTAACAAGGCCAAGTGCAGGGTCCTGCACCTGGGTCGGGGCAACCCCCAATATCAATACAGGCTGGGGGATGAAGGAATTGAGAGCAGCCCTGCCAAGAAGGACTTGGGGGTACTGGTGGATGAAAAGCTGGACATGAGCCAGCAATGTGTGCTGGCAGCCCAGAAGGCCAAGCGTATCCTGGGCTGCATCCAAAGAAGCGTGGCCAGCAGGTCAAGGGAGGTGATTCTGCCCCTCTACTCTGCTCTGGTGAGACCCCACCTGGAGTACTGCGTCCAGCTCTGGAGCCCTCAGCATAAGAAAGACACGGACCTGTTGGAGCGGGTCCAGAGGAGGGCCACGAAAATGCTCAGGGGGATGGAACACCTCTCCTATGAAGAAAGGCTGAGAGAGTTGGGGTTGTTCAGCTGAGAGAAGAGAAGGCTTCGGGGAGACCTTATTGCAGCCTATCATTTAAAGCCCCCCTATTTAAAGGGGGCTTATAAAAAAGATGGCGGCAAACTTTTGAGCAGGGCCTGTTGCGACAGGACAAGGGGGAATGGCTTTAAACTAAAGGGGGGTAGATTTAGACTAGATATAAGGAAGAAATTTTTTACGCTGTGGGTGGTGAAACACTGGCACAGGTTGTCCAGAGAGGTGGTGGATGCCCCATCCCTGGAAACATTCCAGGTCAGGTTGGACGGGGCTCTGAGCAACCTGATCTAGTTGAAGATGTCCCTGCCCACGGCAGGGGGGTTGGACTAGATGATCTTTAGAGGTCCCTTCCAACCCAAACTATTCTATGATTCTATAAGATACAGGAAAGGTAGCTGAACAAGAGCAATTGCTGGCTGGAGAAGAGAGACTGTTTTAGATCCCCAACCAAGCACACCTGATCCGCGAGAGCTCTGAACAGTTTCTTCATGCTGTGCAGCAGCCTGGAAGAGTTGTCTTGGAGCTGGTAGGAGTGATGGGAAATCTGGTTTGTTTGGGAAACGGCTACCTTTGCCAAAGGCACCTGGGTGTGATAAGTACATTCCAAGGCCAATACTAAGTGTGTCCTAAAAAGTTCATTTTGATAGGAGGTTCTCAATGTGGCATGTTAAAAAAAGTGATTCTCATAAACCAGCAAGAAGGACTGGAGGAAGGAGTTTCAGACATCAATACAGTCCCATTCTGCAGCCTGCTTAAGCAAAACTTTCTCTCCAGCTGACAGCGAGGTGATATTAAAAACCCAAAAACCAAAGGAGGTAGACAGAAGGTATTCTCATGTGCCAGAGAGTTAGCTGCATTAGCTATGTGTGCATTTTCATGTTTCAGCAATAGAGGAAAAGATCTCGCATAACAAGGCGATGCAGCATTACATATGCCCTAAGGTGGCAGTATACACTCAGGTAGTTAACCCGGAGTTGCAGGCGTACTGTTACTCTATGCTAACATATAACAGGCCCTCAAATCTTGTATTTGATATATAGTCACTTCCATGTAGTCTTTACCTTCTGATAACATTTCAGCCAAACATGTTTTATCTGTATAGCACTAATATAAAACGCTATAAAACAACAAACCAAACCCTTAGGGCTAACGGCACGTTAGCCTTTTAAACATAAGAGTTTAAAAGTTGTGTCACTGGATTTTGAGTAACACACAAACACCCTTTCATGTCTATATGAGTCCAGAGACTGAAGTCCACAAGTTCAGCCCATTCCAAAAGCAAGCGTGAAAAGAGATATTTATCAGGAGAAAGTAAAGCTAAAGTACAGAGTTGAGTGCCAAGGTTGTACGCTGGAAACGATACAGCGAATATCCCCAGTTAAGGGAATCCATGATTACCTCTCTTGTAAGTCTACAAATCCTGGCAGTCAGAATGTACCTCTTATTAACCACTCAAATCCTTTTTAAATTCATTGGTTTTGCCTACAAAAACAATCTGCTGGTGTTGAGAGGCAGATTTTTTTTTTTTGTGCATGGTGTGAAAAGTACTCCTTTTTGTTTGCTTTAAGCTTGCTGCTGCCTCATTTCAGTGTTAGTCATAGGTCAAGTATTGGGAGAAACTGCATATCAGTTCCCCTTTCACCTTCGCTACACTTTTCAGGATTTTATAGACCTCTGTCACAGATCTTCTATCATAGTTCTTTTCCTAGGTTTAGCGATACGGTTTATTCCATCTCTGCTTTTCTAGACTGAGTGCCCAGTTCGAATCCTCTTAAAAATGCTTCATTTTTACTGCACGAGATTCAGCTTTTTCTGAAAAATAAGTCCTATTTCACTGTTTTGCAAAGTCAATATCTGAAAAACTTACTTAACAGGAATAGTTATTTCTAAAAATAGAAGCTATGATGTTACTCTGCAAACCACAAAATATATTTGAATACACATTTTAAAAAATCTGAAATAAGTGCAACATTCATTTTATAACAATAAAGTAACCTAACTTATACTTTATTTTTATGATACCAGTTGATACTTTAAATAAGGAGCATCACTGGCCTAGGATATGCAAAAAGAATGCCACAAGCTGGAGAAATGAGCCAACAGGAGCGTCATGAAGGTCAGCAAAGGCAAAAGCAAAGTTCTGCCGCTGGGATGGGATAACCCCATGCCACAGGACAGGCTGCACTCCAGCTGGACAGAAGCAGCTCTGCAGAAAATGACCCGGGGTCCTTCTGGACAAAAAGTTGAATATGAGTCAGCAGCGTGCCCTTGCAGCCACACAGGCAATAGCATCCTGGGCTATACGAGTAAGAGTGCAGCCAGCAGATTGAGGGAGGTGATCCTTCTCCTCTTTTCAGCACTTGGGAGACATCTGAAGACATGTACCCAGTTTTGGGCTTTCCAGTACAAGAAAGACATTGATGTGCTGGAGCAAGTCCAGCAAAAGACAAGAAGATGGTTAGGAGCTGGGGACCATGATGTACAAAAAGGGGCTGAGAAAGATGAGCTTGCTCAGGATTCAGAAGAGAAGGTTAACAGGAGATCTTACTGCTGTCTTTAACTACCTTAATGGAAGGGTATAAAGAAGACAAAGCTATACTATTCCGAGAGATTGACAGTGACAGTCCAAGAGGCAACAGACACAAGCTGCAACACGGAAAATTTGAATTTGATATAATAATAAATTGGATATAATAGTGTTTTCACTATAGGGGTCATAGGAGATATTCAAAACTTGACAAGACATAGAATTGGAACAACCTGAACTAACTGGACCTGCTTTGACTAGGAGGTTGGCTGAGAGGCCTGCAAATGACCTTCCAACCTAGTATTTTATAAGTCTATGACAATTTAAAACATAGAGAATCCTTCTTTAAAGAAAAAAAGACAGGAACATAGAGGAAATCAGCAGTGACAAGGTGGACCACAGGATGAGCGAAGGTGTCCTCAAATGAAAGTCTGCCTTGCACCACATCAACAGTCTTGAGCAAAGAGGCCCTGAGCAACCTGCTCTAATGTCAAAGCTGGCTTTGAGCAGAGGCACACAACCAATGGGGAGTTTCCCAGAGCTAAATTCATTTACAACACTTTCTCCATTTTTATACTGTGATATTCGGATGCCTTCACTGAAAGGAGTACTGGCACCTCTTTGCAAAGCAAAAGCAGTTTGAAATCCTTTTACCCACAGAAAGAGACCTTTCTAACAAAACATGTTACAACTTTTCAGAGTATGTAAAAGCCTGCAAGAATGACAAGAAAAAACAGACTACGACCCACCTGAGTTAGCTTCTTGTGAGCACAGTTTACTCAACTAACCATAATCATGTTGGGCATCAATGGTCTCGGATAGTGTAAAACAAAGTCTAGCTTCATGAGCCAAATGGAAGCCTGGTGTAAGAGATCCGGCACAGTCACATCCCGCTGGAGGAACTCAGAAGCCAGTTTTGTGTATGGTTAAAAGAGAAACTCACAGAGAAGAGAATTTGGGATGTCAAAGATTAGAATCTTCACCCGTTGGAGAAAGTTCATGCGGCCTGTATGGTCTGTAAATATCCTGGGGACATAAGAAGGGGGACTGGGACACTGAGTGGCTTCAAAATCTAAACCACATGGCATTCCTCGCAAAAAAAACACGGAAGGGACTGAAAGATGCTCAGCCAGAATCTGCCCACAGGGTATTGCCGGGTCTGTAAGGGCAGTGTCAAACTTGCTCTCCTCAAGATATCTGACAAGCTCTTTGTTGTAAAGTAAGTGTGTACAGGTAGACAGGAACATGGCAGAAGTATTTTTCACTCCTTCATATGTTTTAACATTTATTTCCAGAAAAGATCCTTCTTCAAATACATTCCCGTGAAAAAGAACAGATACTTCCATCCACCTCTTCCTTTGTGAAGGGTATTGGATACATTTTCATAATAAAATTCTCTGATGGTTTTATATGTATGTTTATTTCAGGTGTAACAATGACTATGTCATGTCCCTTCTGCCTGAGACCGTCCAACACTTCCCGCATGCTGAGCCAATGACTCCCGTCCACCGGCACCACCAGCAGCTTCCCACCAGCAGCCAAACTGAGCATGGACAGGAGCAGAACCAGTGCCGCCATGACTTGCGGATGAGCACTAAGCACCGGGGCCATTTCTGCAGAAATCTGGTGAGTGCTGCCCAGAAATAATATTCCGAGCTCCGCCTTTTTAAGCAATCTGCACTGTGCTTTCTTGGGATGATCTTTAGACTTATTTGCTGTGTGGTAAACGTATAATCATGGGTCTGGCAAAGATGGAATAAGAGGTTTTAAAGTGCAGCCAGTTTGGCAGACAGTAACCAGAGCAGCAGCTAGACTGGGAAACACCCACCTCTTTGTATTGGAGGACACTGGGATTTAAGGAAATGAGGGATCCTTCAACAAATGGTCTGCTCAAAAGTGTTGATTAACAGGTCATTAATTTTCCAAACAAGAATTTTCAGTATAAGAAAACTCCTCCCTGCCAGCCCAAATAATTTTCCTATTTGTAAAATATTAGAAAAATATTAATGCTCACATGGGAAATGGTCTGGTTTCTTTACCAGTTTTATATCTTGACATTGTAATGAAAATGGAAAATTGGCTATCAAAGTTCCTTTCCCTGAAAGGCCTCTTTTTGGAAGGATGAAGTAGGGGCTGGAAGGAGGAAGGACAAGGGCATGTTTTTTGCCAGATATATTTAAAACTGGATTAGCAACTCAGCAATACCGTTCCAGATCAGCCTGGGAAGAGTATGTCCCAGGGCCATGAAAGCAAACAACACTAATGCATAGACAGGATTTGCAGACAATCAGTCCTAATTATGAGAATTATTGCACAGAAGTAATTTTGACCATACAGTAATTTACTATGAAGGTTGATAGTATGCACCAGAATTTTTTTAAGGACATTTACCGGACTACTGCAGCTCTAGGTACACCTTTTATAGGGAAACTTTTCAGAAGGCAGTGTAAGCTGTTGCAGATGCTCAGTGCTGGCTAGCAGCTACAAAAAACTCCAACAGTTTTGCAGAAAATTTTGTAAGGAATCCATGCAGTAAAAGGATAAGCCTAGACTGACAAAGTAACCAGAACATTACCTGCTGACTGACGCGTTATATGACACTTTATTTCTAAATTATGAAAGGATGGTTCTATTACCCAAAAAGATTCATTGTTTTTAAAAATCAATTGTGACAGTAAAACAAATAGTTGCAGGTAATAATACCGATCTGGCAAATACAAGCAGCAGACCTGTCTGGTAAGACAGGGATCACCCTCACTGGTGGGTATGTGCCTCATTAGCAAGACTGCAGTAGTAAACTACTTCCACCTAGCCCAAAGAAAACAATTGTGTGAGCAAAAATGCTTAGATCCTGCTAATGCTATAGAAGAGTACCTGCAAGAGTGGGAGAGAATTAAAATCAACCCTGTTTTTCACCTATTTTGTCTTTACAGTATACCTTACTGCCCTTATAAATCTCACAAACTCATGTATACAATTATATACACAGAGAACATTTGCAAACAGCATTTTCCCTTCAAATCTTAATATATTTTATCAAGGGAATCACTGACCTGAGACAATGGCTTTTTCTTTCCACAGTTTATACCTCCAATGAAAACTATGTTGGGCATCACTGGCATGGGATACTCAAAAACAAAATCCATTCTTTTCAGCCAAATGGATCCATGGCTTAAGAGCTCCTTCATTGTTACTGGTCTGTGGAGAACATCTGAGGCCAGAAGTTCAAACGGTAAATAGGCAAAATTGCAAAGAAAGGATTCTGATGACTTGAGAAATAAGTTTTCCACGCGCTGGATAAATGTCATGTGGTCTGAGTTGTCTGTAAATGTTCTTGGGACGTAGGAAGGGGGATCTGGACAGTGGGTAGCCTGCAAATCAAAACTGCAAGGGAGTCCCCGTAAAAAGAAAACGGATGGGATAGAGAGATGCAGAGCCAGTATTTGTCCACATGGTACAACAGGATCCGTGAGAACAGCATCAAATTTACTCCCTTCAAGATATTGCATCAGATCCTTATTGTGCAGTAAACTGGTACAGGAGGAGACGTAGAGACCGGAGATGACTTGAATTTTTTCATAAAGCGCAGTAATTCTTTGAAGAAAAGGTCTTCTCTCAAAAAGATCATTAGCAAATAAATGCATGCTTGCTCCCAGTTCTTCCCTAGTTAAAGGCACTGGGTACGTTTTGAGAGTGTAATACTCAGATGCCTTCACGTTCAAATTTACTTCTGGTGCAACAACGACAATTTCGTGCTCTTTCTGGCTGAGGGTTGCCAGCACTGAGCGCATGCTGAGCCAGTGACTCCCATCCATAGGCACCACCAACAGCTTTCCACCATCGACCAAGCAAAACAGAGACAGGAGAACCAAAACCCCCGCAGAAACTAAGTAACTGTATTTACTTACATGAGCCATGTTCCTAGAAATCCAAAGTCTGTTCATCTGCCCTGACATAACAGATCTCAAGCAGGACCACAGCCCCCTGCCAGATTCTCACATTCCCCCTTAACGATGCAGCTTTTCCAGCAAAACCAGTCACCAGTAACCATTCAAGGCATTGATGAATCATTTAAGGAACGTAATAAAGGTATCTGAGGCTCCCTTGGGATGAGTCCTTTCTGATTGATTCCCTGTGCTGATTGATGTTAGATTGAAAATAAAATCAGACTTTGCAAAAACAAAATCCCAAGCCTTTGAATAGCGCTGGCACTTGGAAGTAACTGGGCTTGCTGAAAGCAGGTATTAAAATGCTTTCTTGCTTTCCTTCTTTTCTTTCTTTCTTTTTGATAAGCATTTTACAGCTGTTCTGGAATGCTTGTCAAGTTTCTGTTTAAATCAAATTATAAAATTATGCTACTATACAGCACGATATCTGTGCAAATCCTAAGGAGGAGGCTCTATGATTTACATACAGCTCAGCACCGGGGCCAAGTACACCACCAGGTACAAATTTATTACAATAAGCAACACTGCAGCAGAGGCATGCATCAGTGAAGGTAAACCACCAAACACATGCTGTCATGCATGACACTTCTTTGTTCTCATCCTGACCTATGTCTCTGTGCCTCTCTCGATCATTTTCTTCTTCCAGGAGCAATAGGAAGGAAAAACCACTCAGTTCCTCGTGTACCTAATTAAATACAGGAAAGCCTGGACAGAAGTAGCTAGTAATAGCCCTCTTGTTTCAGGCCAGGAATTGATTTTAAATGGTGAGAGGTGGTGACATTACTTCAGATGAAAAACTAAAAGTAAGTTACCATGTCTGAGCAGTTAACAAGTACTTGTGATAAACTTGTCAACCCATAGGATTATGTTTTGCCGTTAGATGTAACCGTGTGATTCAGAGGCATAATCAGAAGACAACATGAAATGAGGACTGAAGAATCAGTACTTCTGCAATAAATATTGCTGCTGGACTATAATCTTTAGCCCCTGAGCAAGGTGAGAATGAGGTTTGTCTTCAGAGGAGAGGCTGATCTTAAGATGGAGCTGCCATATGGTCTTGCCTGCAGGCAGGATTCATCTCCCTGCTTTCCCAGAGGATCTGCCTGGGTTTGTCCCTGAGGAGCCATTAAGCAGCTCTGATGGACAGAACAGATACGAAAAAGCACTACCCTGATAAAAGTGGCCATGTGGGGGGTTGACGGCAAATTGAAAGAGACTTTTGTGAAAAAGCAAGATCTGAATACTAGCAGCTCAACAGAAATAAACAGTACTTTCAATGGGCAGCATCAGGTGAAGTACTGGGAGGAGTAAAACAAAGCCTGAGGGCTGTTAAGGTTGGCTCTGGGGAAGATGTGCCAGGCTTGTGAAATGCAAATCTATTTTGTGAAGCTTCACTCATTCATGTTTACAATGGCCTATGAATTTGGGGGAAGAGTAAGAGTGGTGATAGGCCGGAGGAATCTATTCCCTAAGACTCAGGGAAGGCTGGCAAGTGAAAAAAGTTCAAGGGAAGAATAGAGAAGAGTGTGTTTATTTTTAAGTAACGTTCAAAAAGGATAAAACTTTATCCTTTCCAGGAAACAATGTGATTTATTGCTAAAACGGCTGGATGACACTAACTACAGATTCATCATCTGCTGAGGAGAGCTGTCTCCTCCTATATCTCCTTTTCCACTTAATCTCTGGCTTCACATGAGGCTGTTCTACTTACAGCACAAGCAAGCAAGAATATACATCACATGCAGCAACAAGCTAACATACATCACATGCATGCCTTTATCAAGTGCTTTTTAGACCACAGATGCCCAAGCAACCACCCATCAACATTTCCATATCCAAACTGGATGTCTCCTAAAAATACAGTTGAGAATTCAGCTGTCTAGTTTTTGTGATGGAAGCTGTTGTTAGACCAAAACCTTCACTACAAAATATTAGCCTTTGACTCAAACACAAGACTGCTGTTACAGAAAAGAGCACATGATGCACATAACTCAGCAAATTACTCTTCTGACTGGATAAACAGCTAATGCTCTTGAAGAAATATTCTACTGTCTCTTATGTGAGGCAAAGAATTTTTGGAACAGCTGTTATAATTCACCTGCCCTTTTTGCCTTAATTCCTGGGCGAGGTGGTGTTTGTGGAACTGACTTCAGCTGGAATTAAACACAGCATAGCACGTGATTCCCTCACCGAACAAAATCCCCGTGTTGGGCAGACCCAAGGAAAGGACGTGGAATCACATCATGTTTTCCTGGTCTGTTTTTCATGTGGATTGGCTATATAGAAAGCGTTAATCTAAATTATCTCTTTAGGTAAGAAATGTCCATATCAAACACACTATTAGACCTCACCCAGATCATGCAGGTGTATGACTGCCAGAACTTTTCCCTTGTTACACCTTTCCTAGCCAGTCACTGACCTGAGATAATGGTTTCTTCTGTCCGCAGTTTATGCCTCCAATGAAAATCATATTGGGCATTACAGGCATGGGATAGTCAAAGACAAAGTCAAGTCTCTTCAGCCAAATGGATCCATGACTTAAAAGCTGTGTAATTGTCATCGGCTTTTGGAGACAGTCTGAGGCCAGGCTTTCAAATGGTGAAAAGACCATACCGCAGGTGAAAGACTCTG